AAAGAAACGAGCCATATTAGCTAAGCAAAGCGGAGCCAGTCCCACGAGATGTGGCGCTCTGGAGCTGTCGGAATGGAAGACAGGGACCTCACCTTTACCCAACTGTTCTCAAGCTGAAATTGGGGGTGGGGGAGGAAATTCCCTCTCATAACTAGTGGCTTGGAAAACATGAACATTACATTGTCCTCATTCCCCCTTTTTACCCTTATGGATGCTTAAATCCAAAGTCCTGACTTTAAACAGTCATCATTATTATCAATAACAGTAATCAGAACAATAGCAATAATAATAACAATGAATCTGAGAGCAGGTGTGATATAGTGAACAAAGATGCCATCTCTGCTACATATCACATTGGTTTCGAACCGGTTTGAAATCCCCCCCCCCAAGAATTCTGAGAACTGTGGTTCGTCGAAAGTGCACGGAATTCCCTGGGGCAAATCCTGCACTGATACCTCCGCTGAGAGCTACAGTTAGTTCCCTGTAGAGTGAGAAAGACTGTTGAATTATGTCTGTAATTCAGGGCTCTTTTTGTAGAAAAAGCCCAGCAGGAACTCATTAACATAATAGGCCACACCCAACAGCAGAAACCTATTAGCATATTAGACCGCACCCCTGACAGCACAGCTCATTGGCACATTAGGCCGCACCCCCATGTTACCAGAAGTGCGGTTATCCAGCCACACCCACCTTTTGCTTGTTGTTCTGTTTACCTTGTTTGATGTCAAAACCCAGGGCCTTTTTTTGTAGCAGGAACTCCTTTTGCATGTTAGGCCACACACCTCTAAAGTAGCCAATCCTAATGAGTTTCTGCTGTTGGGTGTGGCCTATTATGCTAATGAGTTCCTGCTGGGCGTGGTCAACTTGGGAGCCAGCCGGAACTCCGTTCCTGTGCGTTCCTGCCCAAAAATAGCCCTGTCTGTAGTACAAACATTCCCTGTCTTGAGTTCAAATCCCACTTCCGCTGTGAGCTGACATCCTAGTTCTCTTTGGAAGGCTGTCTTGGAAGGTTTTCGTGGGTCTATGGTGACGTGGTCGAAACACCCTGTTGTTCCTGTTACCACTTAGGGAGCCCTTTAGAAAATTCCCACATTAACATCAATGATCTTTACAATGGCCCAGGAGTGTGATTCCCCAATAGATTAGCAACATGCCTGGTAGGATGCATTTACAGCTAAACTACACAAGATTTTTCTTTAAGAGTCACTGTCCCTTCAGCCACAAAGCAGATGGGGCCCCCAATTCAGCTCAGGACCATGGTGTGGTGGTGGAGGGGCTCCCGCAGGGCTGTTTTGGCCTGGGAAAACAATGTGAGGGTGAAAACGGGACCCCTTCTCCAGCCCCACGTGTGGTCCCAAGCCAAATTGGTCCCCTGTGGGCCAGTTTGGTGTGGTGGTTAGGAGACTCTAATCTGGGAGAATCTGGGAGAATCTGGGAGAATCTGGGAGAATCTGGGAGAATCTGGGCGCCTCTCAATCTGGGAGACTCTAATCTGGGAGAACCGGGTTTGATTCCCCACTCCTCCACTTGCACCTGCTGGATGATCTTGGGCAAACCATAATTCTATCAGAGCTGTTCTTGACAAAGAGCCGTTTCTGTCAGAGATCTGTCAGCCTCACCTACCTCACAGGGTGTCTGTTGTGGGGTGGGGAAGGGATGGGAGATTATAAACTGCTCTGAGACTCCTTCGGGTAGTGAAGGGTGGGGTATAAATCCAATCTCCTCCTCCTCCTCCTCCTCCTCCTTCTTTAGAAATAACACCCGCACAGCTGTTGCAGGGAAACTGAGTTGGGCCTGACTTGTTAAAGAAGTCGTGTGTCATTTGGTCCTGAGTTCGGGTGGCGGGGCAGTTCTAGATTTTGGGGGTCCTGGGCCCCTTCCCCTCCTCTGCCCATTCCTGCTCACGTCTCCCTTCCTGCCCAACCGCCTGTATGCCCTCCTAGAGCCAGTTTGGTGTAGTGGTTAGGAGCGCGGACGCTAATCTGGGTTTGATTCCCCACTCCTCCACATGCAGCTGCTGGTGTGACCTTGGGTCAGTCACAAGTTCTCTCAAAGTTGCTCTCTCAAGAGTAGTCCTCGAAAGAGCTCTCTTAGCCCCGCGTACCAAACAGGGTGTCTGTTGTGGGGAGGGGAAGGGAAAGGAGATTGTGAGCCGCTCTGAGACTCCAAAGGGCGGGGTACAGATCCAATCTCTTCTTCTACCTGCCTGTGCATCTTTCCCCTGCCCTGCTCACCAGTTTTCCCACTGCCCACGCTCACAGCTGTTTGCACGGCGTTTCTCTGGCGGTGCCCGGCAGTGTGCGCAGCTTGAAGCATGGGTGTGGAGCACTGCAAGTGAGCGGGTAGGGGGGAGGGTCGACCACAGTGGTGTCCACCGGAAGCCCTGAAAAGCTGCCCAACCTGAGGGTATGCTGACGCCGGCCCCGTTGGGTGAAGACAATTCCCAGGCACTGCATCAGCTCTTCGTGCGTGTTTGTGTGTGACTGTGAGGAGGCACCCCTTACGGGGTCCCCGTCAGAGGGGCCGGGACACCCTGCTGTCAGGATAAGAGAGGCAATTCCTCACTCAGTCCGTAAGTGTCGCCATCAGTATCACTTTACTCGTCCCCAGGGGTCATTTCCTGCAGGAGCGCACAGGAGCGGAGCTCTGGCAGTAAAGAGCCCAGGGGGCGGGCACATACAACAAGCCCCACCCCCTGCTTCCAGCAGCCCTCAGTCAGAGCAAGAAGCAGCCAGGTAAGCTGCAGAGCACCCCCCCCAGCCCACTGGTCCAAAACAGTCCAGTGGCACCTTTATGACCAAGTTTTATTCAGGTACAAGCTCTCCCTCCTCTGCGAGGACAGATCTGCACATTCCCCCCCCCCAATAGCTAGCAATCCAAAAGAGTCCAGTGGAGCCTGAGCGGTGGGTGTTGCCTTCTGACACACTTCTGGTGATGTCAGGGGGGTGGTGGCATATGCAAATAAGTTATGCTAATGAGTTATGCTAATGAGCTCCTGCACCTCTTTTTCTACGAAATGACCCCTGCTCGTCCCTACATTCTGGGTGAGAGTAATGGGGTGCCCTCGAAG